TAAAGGATTGCCAGACCAGCACTTAAGCAGAAGCAAATATGGCACAGGATTTCCTGGGGATTAATGACTGGCTGGGAGTTGATGATAGCCTGATGCACAGGCAGTCATTAATCTTAATCCTCAGGAAATGATCTGTACCAAGGTCATTATTTCTGTAATAAGATAAAAGCAAACAAAAACCCTAATGTCATACTGATATTTTTAAAGAATGATGAGGTTTCAACTGTAATGTAAAGTTCACGTGCCATTAACAAATATCCTACACGTCCCTCTGTTAAAGTGGCTGAACTCTTATCTTCTTAGAAGCTTTATGCTGAGACCAAGATTTTGAAGAGGAGAAGCCTTCCTTGTCTTAGACTGTTAAATCCACAGCATGGCCGCACACCTGCCTGGATGCGAAGTGTCAAACATCCAGCAACTCCCACTGATCTCAGATGTAATTCATCCGTCAGAGGTGGGCTGAACACTTTGCACGCCCACCGATTCCAGAGAGTTTACAAGCTGGCTTTCACAAGACAGGCACAAGCCATCGCAAAAACACAGTTATGTGGGAAGAGAAAAGGAAAGACGGGTTCACAAGTGTGTGTCATATATCAGGATCGCTCTGTTTGTCTATGTTTTGTGGAAAGTAAAAACTTCTTAAGGTCATTTCTCTCTCATTTCATATTTTCCTGCTTACAGTCATGTGCATTTTTAAGAGGCTCTCAATTAAAGTAGAGGTTGGTTCTATGAATTACTCCTGAATGAATTATTCAGGAGTAAATATGATAAGCTGGTTTTCTATAAATACTTTGCATGTTAATGTAACAATAACACTGTGTAGGTCAAGCTGACCTTTAATAGTCACATAGCCTGTTTATACATTCTATACTGCTTATGCTATCAAGAGGACTTAGACGGGATGTCTTTTCTGTCAGCCTTGCAGAACCCACGCAAGTCCAAATGACAGCGCGGCGTGCTTCTTCATGCCCCAATTTTCCTTGCAATTCTTCAAGAGAAAGTAACAGTGAACTTCATTATTGATATAAAGAGAAAGAAAAGCTGGATCTTCCAGCAGCAGTGCAACAACTAGAAATTTTATTTCTAATGGCAAAATTCGATCTGGAAGCTGTGAGGGGTCAAGCACAGAGCTCCAGGACTTTATGAGTGCTTTTCCAGGAAAACTCCGTTCACTTGGCTGTGCCAGCTGTCGGTCTGCTGGCATCTGCTTGGGAAGTGCTTTGACTGATGGACCCAGCAGTCTCGAAGGAAAGCAAGCGCCGAGGAACCCATCGTATGGGAAGAACTGAGAGAAGGTGGGTGCAGATGAGTGAGATGCAGTATGAAGAAAGGCAAAGGAAGTAGTAAAATGGGGACAGAGGAAATGAAAGGGGGAGGAGGACAGAAGGAGTATGCTTGAGTGTTGGGGTTCTAGAGTACCTTTGTATGTGTCAGCTTTGATTTACGCCTTTCACACTTTTCTCCTTTGGGAACGGCACTTTGTAATGTTCTCGTATACTGTTCTTTTGCTGCAAATCCAACAAATACAGCTAATGACGCAATGTTTTTGACTTATTGATCAAAGTCATCATCTGGCAGAAATACTGAGGGGATCTAGCTGACTAAAATGGCACAGAAAAGTGCTCAGAAACCCTTTCTGCTACTCCTTTGAATCTGATCCATAGCATTAAATGATTTAGAATAAATCCTTTGACCTCACAGGTCATGCAACAGGTCCATCGTCTTTTATTATGTGACTGCAACAGAGCCAACTTCCTTTGCTTAGACAAAACTCAAAACTCACACAAAATCACTTGTTTATTTACTCATTATGTCTGTTGTTTGTTTTTTTTTTTGTAGTAGGAAAGGGCGTGTGAAGTGGAGAAAGCCATGTGGGCCAGGGAAGGCACCAGGTAACCCTTTACATTTCTACATCCCCTAAATGATGGGTTTATAAAGCAAAGGACTACTCTTCTCAGACGCTTCTGATAAAGACTACCCCTTCTTTCAATTCCTAAAAATGATATGCTATCAGCTTAAAAAATTACTTGGCTAGCATGATAAAGGTCTGTTAAAGTAAACACGATGCACCAGTTGATTGTTTGATGTTCACTATACAGAGGAAAAGATTAAAACTCAAGAACGTAGTGAGAATTTGGTAGGTAAAATTCATACAGAGCCAAACAGATAATCAATATTGTATACAGCAGATACCCATATCCATTATCACACATATTTCGGAACTGAGTGTAAGATTCAGGTATAATGCCATCCAAATTTGCTAACTAGTACTGCCTGCCTTGGCCAGCCACAGTATTTACATCAAACTAAAACACCTTTTCTTTCATGGAGGTTTGCAGAATTATCTCAAAACAGAATTATGAATGTGGACACTTAAAAGCTCAAAATCGCAGGAAACAATATGAATGTTCAGTGGAGATATCCAGTACTTCATGTGTCTGTCTTCCAAACTGCCTGAGGTGTAAAAGAACTTGAAAGCCAAGTCTGCCTACAACTGAGGTGGTGCCTCAGAAAACGTTAATGACCATAATGTGTGACAGAAAAGTGGGTGGATTTTTTTCACATTTCTCCTACACATCTGGGCATAAAAAGTTTGTAAAAAAATAAAACCAGAGTTACACATGCAAAAATAGTTATTGAATTGCACTCCTATATTGGCACTTTTGTGCTCTCACTAATTAAAATCTAAATTTTGTGAAGTCAGTGGAAATTTGAGATATTAGCTCCTTTGACAGTAACACCAACATACATACACAAGCTATTTTCCAGTGTTTTCCTAGCCATTTCTTATGAAAACTGTGCATTACAAAATAATTTTTTTTCCCTTTGTAAATTGTAGCTGAGTGTGTCAGTTTTAATAAAACGTACAGGTGGTTACTGTCTTGCACTTAGGCCACAGGTGCATTTTTTTTATTCCATTTTTTGGAAGAATGCTAATTCCAGGACAAATATGTGAGTTTGCAGAGGAAAAAAATCAAACGAACAGTGAAGAAAATTTTACTGCAGTAATTTAAGTAAGATTTATCCATTGCAACCATCTCTATCAATCTACACTGACCTTAAGTGTTCTACTGACATAATGAAGAACAGCATTGAGTTACCTGATAAACTTAATTATAGTACCTAATTTTCAAAAGTGCTGGGGTTCTGTGTCTCCCAAGATGGATTTCAGATTTCAAACCCCTTTTTACCTGCGCTATTGTGAAAGGGGAAGCCTCTGGATCACACTATATGGTGCAAGCTTTCTACAGGTGACAAGGAGTGAGAAAAGGTCTGCATGCTGAACAAGCTGTGTCTAGGAAACAAGGGAAATAGGCCTGAGCAATGGAAAAATACCTGAGAGTTGATCTTATTTCTGAACCTTCGTTAAGTCCAAATTGAACTCCAGCAACATTTCTAGCTTTCCTGTGGTCTTCGATCTGTCATAAAGGTTCTGTCCTGGCTAATGAGCTCTTCCCAACTTGCTTCTATTCTCTCTTATTTAGAAAAAAAAAAAAAATATAGTCTATTTACTGCTTCAGATGATTGTTACTTCTGTTTGCGTTAGCACTATTTGAGATGCTACAGATGTATCCATAGCCCAGAAGCTTTGCTTTATGGGAAAAGAGGAGTGCAAAGGATTGTAATGAAAAATTGTAACTTTTCATTAATAAGTGAAAAATTGAGGCTGGAAACCTTGTTTCCTTCTAGCAGAGTGAAAAGCTTGGCTTTTTTTTTTGTACCAGGTGGGTACAGATGAGACTTACTGGGTGCAGCAGTTAGAAAGCTCACCTACCATAGCGATGTGAATAAAGGAAACCAAACATAAAACTGCAATAAATTTCTTATGTCCTTTTCCGGCACTGAATGGGAATAGATTGGGCACAATCTGTTGATGACACTGCTCTAACAGGCAACAGACTTTGGCAATGAATAGTGTAGCACTGACCAAAGAGAGAAGCGATGCAAATTATTATCAGAGTAGAAATAATGGTGTGGAGATTGCAAGAGCTAAACTTGTCCTTGACAACGTGAGTTTCAGCTTCAGTTTTTGCAGAGGGAAATGGAAAAGTAGATTTGCCTTGTCCAAGAGATACAGACCAACTAAAAAAGCTCTGTGCAATGTTGCAATGAGAAACATAAAGGAATTTAAATGCAAGGAAGTGCTACGTACACTTTTTGATCACTGAATTTTGGAAAGTCTCACTGTCAGTAATATTTTAGGTCTCCTTAGTCCCTCACAATTCCTTCACAAGTGCTATTTCTCAAGACATTTATTACTACAGCAAGAAAAGTCCTACAGACCCATATTCACATTCACCAAATATAAATCTGGCCTTGAATTTCTTTGGAAGTCTACCAGAAGCTGAGGTCCAAATCACCCCACAATGGCAAAGTGATTAAGGTTTTCCTGCCGACTTCTCAGACCAAAGCAGTCATAGTCTTCCTGCTAACTTCTCAAAGAAAAATAAAATTACACCACACTTGGACAAAGCAAGCAGACTGTTAACATGCATGCAACATAGAGGGATGTTTGTTACACTTTTTCTAATGTCAGTGTTAAAGCACTCAAAGTCAAGCCAGCAGAGCCTCGTTCTTTTCTATATTCCATATGCAAAACTACTCACCATTTTGGCTTTTTTTTCTGATGTACTAAAATCAAAACCAGGAACGAAAACAAAAAAAAACCCTCTACAAAAGTACAAGAGGATAGAGATTTTTGTAACTTTTAAAATGCTGCTGAAACCAGAGGCGAAGCGAAATAGTCGTTATGATCCGCATCAACCAAGTGATCAGTTTTAGTTAGCACCTCAACGAACACATTTCCTAAGTTGTAAATCTTGGTGAGAGTACACATACTGTGCCATAAAAGTGCAAAACTGTCTCAGAAAATTCAGACACATTCAGAAAAGACTGATGAAAGCAACAGAAATGCAAAAAATAGTTTCATGTGGAGAAGGGAAAAGGAACGTATTTGTTTGCTTTTCCAACAGAAAGCAAAAAAAAACTAAGATAAATACCTTCAGCAAGTGGGTCAAGTGTGTGAATCATGAGCTGGAAGATGCTGTTCCTCATTAGACTGTTGTGGAGAGATGCAGAGCTTCCTCCCCGCTGGAGTCGCGG